CAGGATTGGCCAGGAAGGCCCATGACGGAGCTTTGTGGGGTGACGGCCTGCACGTGACGGCCTCTATGTCGTCTTTTTAAAGGTTTGGGCCTCACAGGTGTGCATTTGTCAAAACACAGAGAAGGTTTTATTAAGATTTTGACATTTCGTTACATGTAATATTTACCTTCAAGGGAAAAAACTGTAAAAAAATACTGAACTCTAGATGATAATATGCATGCTGAGATTTTAGGGGGACGTTTACCATGTCTGCATTTGCTTTGATGTGCATCAAAAAAGATAGAGGCTAAGAAATGCCACAAAGCAAGTGCAGTAAAAGGTTCATGATAGACTAGAGGTAATTATTAAAAATTATAAAACATTGTCAATTTTGCTGAATATTTTTAAATTCTTATTAAAATGTTGAAAATAGTAACATAAAGAATAAATAAAATGGTGGAATTAACCCATTTTTGTCTGGGGTAGCAATTTTTTGAATTTTTGCCATCAGACCTTGGTGATCACCTTGAGCAGTAGGATATCAATCCCACATGCCTAGCGTTCCAATAATGGAATGTTCCAATAATGGAATGCTAGGCATAAATGGATTAAGACCAAGTCTATTAGCCAAGTATAAATACAAAGAGATGTTAAACCTCTGTAGGAAGTGATACAGACAAAGCGACCTCCCATCTCCTGCCATATCCTGTCCACTAGAGGCCATCTCTGGGCCCAGCCCAAACCCAGGGCAGGGATCCCCCGAGGGCAGGATCGTAGGGTCACTGGGGCCATTTTGGAAGCCGCCTACCATGCCCCATTCTGACTTGGTTGATCCCTCCCCAAACCTCCCCTGGTTCTTTCTCTTACCGCGCACACCACCCAGGAGCACATGCTTGTCTTAACTCTCCAAGTCCTTTGTCACTCCCTTCACATCCCACCTTCCTCAGAGGTGGCCACTGGAAGAGCTTAGATGACCAGCCCAGGCCTTTCTGTTCTAATCACCTGTGTACTTGGGCACACATACAGCTCACCAGACTGTGGAGTTGCTGTTTTTGTTTTAATAAGGCCACCGATACTCCACGTGATGCTCTGACGGCCTCACTGAGTGTCCTCGGGAAGCCCCTTTGACAGACAGGGAGGCCGTTCCTGCACTCTGCTGCTTCAAACCGTGCCCGTAACTGCTGGCCTCTGCGGAGGAAATCTGCACGTTTAAAGAAGAGAAGGTGGTTTTAAAAACAAACCACTTTTGCACCTACAATGTTTTGAGCATTTATAAACTTTTTTCTCCACAAGCTGGATACCACCGTAGTAACTCACGATAATTATTAATTAAACTCACAACTTAGTAGGGGAGAGCGTGAGCTCTAATAAGATTCCACTCTTCTTAAGGGAGGAATGAAAGATAAAAGGGAAAATCTGAGTCATCCATCCAGGCTGATGTCATGGGATCCCACCTGCATCCAAATTGTCCCACAGGGGATGAGGAAGTTATTTGGTATCAAAGAGAAAAACCTAGCCAGAGCAGCCTTCAGAAGAGGAGCAAAGCCCCACACAGATATTTCTCAGAGAGTTCACAGAAAGTGTTCTAGTTTGTTGTTGTTGTTGTTGTTGTTGTTGTTGTTGTTGTTATAAGGAAAATTGAGCAAAAGTATTAATGTCACAAAGAATCTACAACCAAGAATTCTCCTGGCCAGAGACTACATGTGAATGAAACTGGGAAATATTCCAGGAGACAGATAGAATGGTGGGAATGCCAGTCAATGGAGATGGATTGTATTTGAATCAGGCAAAGAGTGGACCAATCACAAACCAGTAAGACTATTGGCATAAGTTAAATCCTGGGTCTCCAATTTAAACACATACATTCGTGAGACAGCCTATTCCTCTTAGTCTCCGAGGAATGATCTTTACTGTGTTCCTTTAGAGACCAATAACTCCTATAAGTTATCTAATTGTAAACTGCGCGGATACCCGCACCATGCACTTCAGAGTTCCCGGATACTCACAGCGTTCTCCAAGTGTAGTCTTTTTGATCATAGGAATTAGTCACTATCATACTCACCGTATTTTTATCTTAGAAGCTTTCTAAAAATTCAGTCTCCACAAATAAGAAGACAAGCTGTCAAATCATGCGTTCCACTTGTGAGTTCAGGGCTAACAGCCACCAACTCCAGCAGATGGGAGGTGGGGTCACAGTCTTGGATGCCCCTCCCATGGAGAAATCTTTCCAACTACATTTTTTTAACGTCTGACAAAAAAGAAGATCAGTAAAAGCAACATTTTAAAAGTTGGGAGTACGAGTATTTGAACTTTCTTATCCCAGTCCAACAGTCTTATTTGATGAGGATCCTAGAGCCCAGCTACCACTTCTTAGTTTGCTCTGAAGCCTGCTACAAGAGCAGAAAAATATTTGTTGGTTTGCTTATTTACATAAAAATTACCCCCGAAATCAACAAGTTTTCTATAAAATACATCTGTGGTGAGTCCTGCAATGGCATTATTGTGAGGATACATGCTTTCTCATATCGCTCTTAAACAATGGAGTAGCTAACTAATCTAAAATCATTTTTATTCTTTTCATGCTAATGGAAGATGTGTAAATTCTACCTAAAATTCCAAAAATGATCATTCTATACATTAAATTGTCATGTAACAGAAGAGCACAGCATACAAAGACAGATTAATCTATCAACTCAAAATTTTGGAATAAAAAATATTTCCTATATGACTTATGCTAGATATGTATTTTTGGAACCCACGAAAATAAAATTATTTTGAAAAGAATATTGCAAACTTTGAGTTTCTTTGGCTTCTACTTGCAAGATTGGAAAATCTGAGAAGTGTCTTCAGCTTTAGCTCATCTGAACTGCTGAAGTTCTAAAATCCCAGCTGATGAGAGTTTTAATCTTAGTAAACAACAATTCTGAGAAATGGAAAGAGCTATTCGCAAGGCAATTCATGTATTCATTTCATTCAACAACACAACCCAGGAGATTTGAGACATTTTAAAAGGAATTTTCCTGTTTTCTCTCCCCTGCAATTGATTTCCCACAGACTAGAAACTTGGCCATGTCGGCTGTGGGCTGTGGACAACCCCAGCTGGCAGGAGGGACCTGACCAGCACCTGGATTCTCAGGGTCCCCCCACCGCCGCTGCACAGCCCAGCACAGGCCGGGGGTGGGCCCGGGCCCTGCGGAGAGGGCGGGTCTGAGCGGGCTGGAATGTGTTCACCCTGCAGGCCGGCATCTCAGCCTCAGGCCCCACAGCAGGTCTCCTGTCTCCACCCTCGCGGACTCTGCAGGGCTGGGGCTGCTCCTGAGTTTCTGGTAAGGCCCTCGGGAGTCCCAGCTCGGTGGAGACCAAAGCCCCCGCATCCTCAGCAGACCCCCGGCGAGTGCCCCGCGGGTGGCGGCAGCTGTGGGGCCGTCTGGGATTCCCCGCAGCACTGACCCTGCGCCTCGCGTGTCTGGGCTTCGTGGTGAGGGGCGGTGGGGTGCGCGCGATCCTTTCTGACTCAGCGGAACAGAAAACCTCCCAGCGCCCCAGCAGGAGCGTGGAGGCCAGTCAGGAAGGGGCACAGGCACATTCCAAACGCAGCAGACCCCACTCCTCGCCCTGCGGAGGAAACGCGGTGTGGAGGGACAGAAACGGCCCTCAGGCCACAAAACCACCGCGGCCACAGCAGCCAGGCGTCCGGCAGGGAGCGGACCGTGGTGGAGGCCTCTGAGCCCAGCGGGCTGTGCAGACCCGGGAGACGCCGAAGCAGGCGCGCTGAGCCCCAGGGCAGGCGGACCAGGCCACGGTGGAGGGACAGGCCGGGGACGCGGCGCAGCCCCTGCGGGGAGGAACGGGGTCCGGCGGGGACGCCCTCCCAGCGGCTGAAATGCCCGGGACGGACCTGGGCGTGGAGGAGCCGGGGGCGGGGGGAGTCCGCCTCCAGCCACCGACGGCTGCCCGAGGCAGGGCCTGCAGGAGAGACCCCGGGCCGGGCACGGAGGGACCGCGGCGGGACCTGGCGGGCAGGGGTCGGGACAGGGCCTGCCAGTCAAGTCCACCAGGGCTGCTGGGTGGTCCAGGTGGGATGGGGGAAGGAGGCTGAGCACCGGCCCCGGGCGAGCCGAGACTCCTGCCTGATCCCAGGAGGGAGGCAGCGGTGGGGGGCGGAGGCTTCACCCCTCCCCAGGGAGGCCGCCCCGCAGCTGCCCCTCCACGCTCCGGGGCCACCGCGCTGGGCCTTGGTCACCACCTGGCCCCCACCCACGCTCAGACGAGAGGCAGTGCGGCTTCCCCACGTTCCCACCCCAGCGGCTGTCCCCGCAGAGCGTGAAGAGGCCCGGCTCCTGCAGGAACGCAGCCCAGTGCGAAACCCAAAACCCCAAAACCCCGCTCCTCCCGGGAAACGGGCGGACTTCAGGGACGTCCCCATGTCCCCAGGAGCTCCCAGCCCCGCCCTGCACACCTGCACCTGCACAGCGGGGCCGGCACAGGGGAGCCCAACCGCCTAAAGACAGAGAACTGGGGCGTACACAACACACATGCCACACAGCACACACCACACACAATGCACACACAACACAAATGCCACACAGCACACACCACACACAGCACACACCACACACACCAACAAACACACACACCACACACAACACATACACAACACATGCCACACAGCACACACCACACACAACACACATGCCACACAGCACACAACACAGACAACACACATATTACACAGCACACAACACACACAACGCACATGCAACACAAATGCCACACAGCACACAACACACACAGCACACACACCAACAAACACACACACCACACACAACACATACACAACACATGCCACACAGCACACACAACACACATGTCACACAACACACATGTCACACACGACACACAACACACAAACACATATGACACACACAACACACAAACACCACACAAACACAGATGCCACACACAACATATATACAACACACACGCCACACAACACGCAACACACACAGTCCACACACACACACCACACAAATACACATGCCACATAGCTCCTCAGACACCGGATTAAAGAAGGAAGAGGTTTTTTATTTGGCCGGGAGCATGGGCAGACTCGTGTCTTAAGAGCCGAGCTCCCTGAAGAAGAAATACGTGGCCTTTTTTTTCCGGTGTCTGAGGAGCACTCACACACTCATACTCACAAGGACAGATACTAATCCTGAAACATTCTCTTCTGAGCCCATAAGGAAGAATTCAGATGGCGGCTGCCTCTTCCTCTTCAGAGTCATATCGAGAAGCAATACACTTTTAGCCTAAAACCCAGGTTTCGGGCTCCATGGGCAGAGAGGCAAATACAGTCCGTCACCAAGATCTCCAACACGACCAGGCCCGGCGCGCCAGGAAGAAGGACGCGCTTCCGGTCTCTAGAAGGTATTGAGTGATAGCAATGCACCCGAGTCACGACAGTTTTAAAGTTCTTCCGCACGTGGCTACTCATCTATTGATGAAATTAAATTCATCAAAACTTACGTGGATATTTAGTATGTTTCACCAGAGGCAAGATAATTTTTTATTTAACAAGTTATGTCAATACACATTACAATATGTGTGCACATAAGTATGTATATATGACATACACACACATGCATAGTATAATATGTGTGTATTTACATAGTTTGGTACATATTAATATCTGTATCATATCTATGTATCTCCCTAGGCCTAAAGCAATGCTTCTCAAAGTATTCTCTGCACCAAAAAATGTCAGATATTTCATAATCACAATAGCATTTCATTATACATAAAAAATGTGAATAGCTAGATTATTAACGTTTATTTATTAGACTATTAATGTTTCCTCTTCTTTTTTCCGAAACCTCTGGCATTTACTTGTCTGTAATATGAACCTGTAAAGGGAAATTTTAAAAATCTCAAGACTCCCAAACTTCTTATGCAAAAGGGAAGGTCACTGCAACCCCCTCTTCAAATGAATTGCTGTTACTAACTTCCTGCTCCAGCCAGATCCCCGTGGAAAGGTAAAGGCCTCAGGTTTCTGGGGAGGGCTGCCTCACAGATCAATCACGAATAAATTCTCTGCTGTCCTCCCATAAACAGGCCACTCAGTGGTGACTCCAGTCTACAGTCTAAGTCCAGCGCCTGAAGCTGAAGTGTGGATTCCACGCTGACCGTGTCCCCTACACGCTCGTCTTCTGTGTACAGAACACAGACTCCTTCCTCCACCTACCCAGAGACGCCTGTGTAACTGACTCTTCCTTTACTCCCTTTTCCTCTCTGGTCATTCGCCTTACCTTACGGAACGTGTAAATTAGGCACTAAGGAACGTCTCACAGGAATGCAGCCGTCAGCTCTCCTGCCTGCCGGCCCCTCTTCCTACCTGCCCCCGGTCCCGCTTAAGGAAATGCGTCAACACAAAGCCTCCTGAAAAGCTCTTCAGAAAAACAGCCACAGTTGTGCCGAGTGCCGTGGCTCATGCCTGTAATCCCAGCAGTTTGGGAGGCCAAGGTGGGTAGATCACCTCAGGTCAGGAGGTCGAGACCAGCCTGGCTAACACGGCGAAAGTCCATCTCTACTAAAAATACAAAAATTAGCTGGGTGTGGTAGTGCATGCCTATAGTCCCAGCTACTAAGGAGGCTGAGACAGGAGAATCACTTGAGCCCAGGAGGCAGAGGTTGCAGTGAGCCGAGATCATGCCACTGCCCTCCAGGCTGGGCGACAAGAGGGAGACTCCATTCTCCCAAGAGGGAGGATTTTAATTCATGTTGATTCAGAGTCCATTTATGCCATCACAATTGATGTTTTACCTCTATTTATTTTCTTTTCCACTATTTTGCTTTCCATTAAATAGAAAAAAGAAAAACCTCGATGATTGAGACTTAGGCCTCAGTCGCTCATTTCACTCCTCAAACCCATAGTCGCATCTTCTGATTTATGACAAACTTACATCCTAGGGACCAGGGGCACCTGCAGATGCAGCGTCTCACGGAACCCAGCCAATGCGAATGTTGCGTTTGCAGAGGCACAGGTTCCAGTCCAACATACGCTCAAGCCCTGCTGGGCAGCGTGAGCTCTCCCAGCGGCACATTGGCTGTCCCAGGCCTTGACTTGTCTCTGCTCTCCTTCCTCTTCTCAACGTGTGTCTCCCGAAGGGATGGAAACACCTGCTTCTTTTCAAGAGCTCTCGTGTGAGAGGGAAGGTGCTATTGAAAGAGGGACAGATGCGTGACCTGCATGACCAGTGTTCACCCAGCACAGCACCCCAGTTCATCACTGCAACCAGTGGCACGGAGGGCCCCATGCTCCTCTGGGAGAACTGAGGGAGAACGAGGACCCCAGGAGACAGCCAGAGCTTGGACCCCTGGCCATGGGGGAGCAGGGAAGGAGGCTCACACCCAGAATGCCCTGAGGCTGCAAGAGATTCAGGCCTGGGGTGTGGAACCAGGGGCTGCAGTGAAGAAAGCGGAGAAGCCTGAGATCCAAAATGCGAAAACAACAGGGAAGCGGTGGGCAGGTGCTGGGGCCGGGGCTGGGACAGGCACAGGGGCAGGGGCAGGTGCAAGGGCTGGGACAAGAGCAGGGGAAGGGGCAGGCACAGGGCCTGGGACAGGAGCTGGGGCAGGCGCAGGGGCAGGCACAGGTGCAGGGGCTGGGACAGGGGCTGGGGCAGGGGCAGGCGCAGGGGCTGGGGCAGGGACAGGGGCTGGGGCAGGGGCAGGGGCAAGCGCAGGGGCTGGGGCAGGGGCAGGGGCTGGGGCAGGGGCAGGCGCAGGGGCTGGGGCAGGGACAGGGGCTGGGGCAGGGGCAGGGGCAAGCGCAGGGGCTGGGGCAGGCGCAGGGGCTGGGGCAGGGGCAGGGGCTGGGGCAGGCGCAGGCGCTGGGACTGGGGCTGGGGCAGGCTCAGGGGCAGGCGCAGGGGTTGGGGCAGGGGCCGGGGCAGGGGCAGGGGCAGGGGCTGGGGCAGGGCCTGGGGCAGGTGCAGGCAGTTCAGGGACAAGAGAGAAGCTTGGGGTTAGCAGAGCTGGAGGGCAGGGCTGGCTCCAGGTGGTTGAGAGTATGTGGGTTTAGCAGGCTATGAATGTCAAGGCCTCTGGGTCCCCGGTGTCCAGGACTGCTCAGTCCCTAGGCCCTAAGGGCAACAAATGTACCTTAGAAATTACTCGCTTGCTGGGGAAAGGGGCCAAGCCACACAGCCACAAACCCCAATGTATGAGTCACTGGAAGGCACAGAGCTCCAGGGGGACCCAGTGCACGAGTCACCAGGAGGCACAGGAGCATCAGGGGGACCCATGGGTCTGCGTTGCTGAGAGGCTTGTGATTTCACACAGAGACGACCCGCACTCTGTAGAGAGGATCCTGATTTCCAGGGACTCTGCTCGTTGAAGTCTCAGGCTCCCTGACCTGGAAAACCACCCCCAGGTCTTGGGAACAGCAGGAGAGGAGGAGCCCCCTGTGCTGTGTGACTTCGGAAGCAGCCCCGGGTTCCATCCCGCAGCCTCTCTAACATCCAGCCCTCCAAGAGCTCTGGGCGTCTCACGACAGGGTTGGGGGACCGGAGAGACAACTCCCCATTGTCCGAAAGACAGCAACTCAGAGCCCCCACGGCGCAGGGTCCCTGCCTTCTGAGAGGCATCATCCCCCAGTGGTGCAGTGTGTTCCCTCCTGATCCCAGAACGCCCCTGAGGCCATGGAAGGAGCTGCGTGAATACTCCGTCAGCGTGACGAAGCTGCACGTACACAGTGCCTAGAAATGTGGTAGCTGCAGTCCCAGCAAGGCCATTCTGGGAAGCCCCGCAGGAGCCTAACGCTGGAACTTTAGGGCCAGTCTGCACAGGACGCTCGTCTGAGACCACCTGGCAATCAGAGCGGGAGCACCGTGGAACTTGACCCCGGGGGGTCAGAGCCCCTGCCTCCCGCAATGGAAGGCAAAGTCCCGTCACACCGCGGTGCACACTCCTGATAAAGGAAAGGCGTTGCAGGGTGCTGGATTTGGGACTGGATATTCCTGGGTTACAGAAAGGACTCATCCTCTCTCCCCATCTGAACCTCCGCCTTCCCAACCCCAGGGGTCTTTGTAAATTCCCATGTGGGGGCATCATTTGTTGAATTGGTCTAACCAATAATTTGGTTCTTGGATTACTTTCCGCAGCTCAAGAACCTGATGCCACCAAGCTGCTCTTCAATTATGTATCAGTCTCAGTGGGAAAAGAAAAACAGTGAAGCCCACTTAGAGGAAAACCATCCATGACGGACATGCGCAGGCAGCAGCCGTTTCCCCGTGACCACGGTGTCTGTCGGCAGCCCCCCATCAAACCCAGAGCGTTCGCAGCCACATTTACAGCAGGAGCTGTGGTGTCACGATTGCATTCGCTGGAGAATAGTAAAACTCTTTTTCGAAACACTCTATAGTTAAGTAAACCATTTACTTTGATGATGACTTTGTCCTCCTCAACCACGAATTTCAGAAAGGGTGATTAGCCATAAAGAAATGTAAGGATGTGGCATAGATTTTCATAAAGATTAGAGGAGTTTGGGTGTTTGGAGGTGCCTGTTCTTTTCAGGCTTTCGCTCGCTTATTCTTCCAGCTGGTCACAACTTCACTGGGGAGGAGGCCACACCGCGGGCATTTGGCTAAATACTGGGCCGTTCTGGCCCAAACGTCCCTCCGGATGGAAGGGATATGACTAATTAGTAAGAAAAATGCTTACATACTGGAAATTAAATCCTTCTTTATATTAACAGAGTTTACAGTTGAGGAAAGTTAACGCCGTGAAAAGATATTCTAAAAGGCTTTACAGTCCCCCAGGAAGGCACTGGGTTCTGGTCTAGGGGTGCGGTTGCTTTTCCTCTGCTATTTCAAGGGAGCAGGACAGGTAGTTTTAGAAACCGGGAACTGCATGTGTAACATGCCATCCTTTCTTTCAAGCCAAAGCACCTTGAATGTAGGCAGCTCTTCTCCCTAAATCTGGACATCTACACCATGAAATCCCCAGTTCTGAATACTCAAGTCCGTAGGGTCTCATCAGGGTCGGTCTACACTGACAACCCCCAGGCTTCCGGGACACCCATGTGTCCCAGGCTGCAGGGTGAGCCCTGAGGCTTCAGGTCAAATCCGCTGTGCCGAGCGGAGCAGAGCGTGCCAGAGGAAAGTGATCGTTGGCTGGGGGTCCTTAATTTTGCCTGAGACCCACCCGCAAGCACAGCTGAGGTCTCCCGTGCCTCACTCTGGCTTTCGGAGAAACCTGGGTGCGCAGTTCCACTCACTGGGCAGCCACACCTTTGCTCAGAAGCAGGAAGGGTCTTAGTCCGAGCAGAGACCTGAGCTGTGGGAATGCCTGGGGACCCAGGGAGTGGGGTCTTGGCATTGAGCCGAGGTGGTGAGGCCCCTTCCCCCTGACCTCCTTGCCCCAGAGCAGCACTTGCAACAAAATCCTACCTGCAAGGACAGGGGTCTTTGTCATAAAATCCAGGGAAGGGAAGAGGGAGGGAGGGAAGAAATACTCCTACATTTGTGTCCTGTAAACCTCAATGCAAATCCAGAAATGACAGAGCAACTCAAAAGTTCAGGAAGAAACTCCGATGACGCCTTCTTCATACACAGCACGCCAGAGAGCAGACCGTGGGCTGGGACAGCAGACAGGCATGAGGCGTCTCCATACATATGTCACTGGGGACAGGCTTTTCAGTCGCACAATGTTATTTAAGTTTATAGAAATACGTGAAAACTAAACCAACAAGTAAAGCATCAAGTCCAAGACAGCACGTTTGGTATGGACGCATTTTTGCTAAAATAATTTAGCTATAAAGATGGAAACGCCTGGACAAGTAGACGCCAAAATGTAGCCCTGATCATCTCTGGAGATGGGCTGAGGTGATTTTCCTTACTATTTATATTAATATTGTTGCTGTTATTTACTTCTCTGTACCATTGACATCTCTTGCAAAGATAAAGAGGTCACAGGTCACTAAGTCCTGCAGGGAAATACCTCCGTGGCCCTAGCATCCAGAGAGGGCCTGGGGGACGCGTGGGCAGAGCTGGCAGAGGAGAGCAATTCAGGTCATTCTCGTTTGTTACAGTTATGATTTAATTTATGCCAAGTTTTTGTGTAGGCCAAAGGAAAAGGCTCCCCACTCTGGTCTCTGTGGAGAAGACACAAAGAGGTGGTGGGAAGAGGAGGAGGGAGCTGTTTTCTCAGAGGCTCCAGCAGCAGGCACGGCCGCCCTGGCAGGAGCCCCGAGCAGCCGTGGACGCCGCATTCACTGGAGCACCTGCTCTGCCGAGTGGAAGGAGAAGGCGCCTCGTGATGCCTGGCTGCCCAGACCTCGTCCAGTCATTTGCTAAATTCCCACTGGCTCCGAAGAGAAAAGTCTGGAAGCGCAGTGGCTGGAAACCGGAGCCCACAGTAATTGCCCCGTGGTCTGCGGAGGTTTTGCCGATGGTTTCCAGAATGGGAGGAGGGGTCCCTGAGCAGCAGCGGTGAGTCCCTCAGAGGGCCGTGGCCGGGCACTCGCTCAGATGG